TCAGCATATTCCACTTATTAAATAAAACCTATTGTACTTAATCCCGCACTGTGGCATTTTTTTTAACATGCTACATGCCTGTAGGCTTACGTTCCCAACTCTCAACACCCGCATTGACTCAAAATCCGTGCATATTACAACCTTTGCTTAGTGAAACCCACTGTGGAGCAATAATATTATCGGTGCGAGCGTTGATTGTTCGCTTTTGCACAGAGTTTTCAGAATAAAATCTCAAACAAACCTCCTTTATGAGTCACATAATCAACTTATGAATCTTGAAAGAACACGCATCGTGAATACTTCCAACGCCAAGCAAGATCGCACTACCACCCATGCAAGTCGGGTAGGATTACCGTAAACATCGCCAAATAAGCAGGTACGATTGTAAAAGCATAGCCTGGGCTATAAGCATATATATTTACTTGCTAGCTTTACCTGGGAATACAATTGATCTATTAGCAGCTAAACTCAACAAATTGTGTTCTTGATATTTAAATTCACAAAGCTAGAATAGTTGAAACATTTTGAAAATGTGGTATTAGTCTACCTATCGATGGATCTCAAGATAGTGAAATTCACATTCGAGATATCAATAACTATACTGTCCAACCAGCACCTCAACAGCCTATCGATCTCCCTGTTACCTCACCATTTGGGCAATCAATTTCTGACATTGGCACTGATTCTAAGGAGGAAGCAGTGAGATCTCCACTCTCGTAAAGGAGGATTCAATTGGGCAAGCAAATTCTATAGTTTGTTTTTTCATGTTATAATTATATACTCGAGAGAATGCACTTTTTACAAACAGACATAGTTCTTTCTATATGCGTACCTCTATTATAAGCATACAATTGGGCATCCGGGCTCTGCAGTTATGACTGCACGCATACATGCTTATTTGGCCATGTTTACGGTAATTTACTTCACACATTTGCGCCAATCTGCCTACAGATTACTACCATTATAAGCATACCCGAAATAAGCATATATTTCAGTTATGCATAAGACTTTAAGACCCACTATCCGGAATTACTGCAAAAGTGCCTCTCATTATAAGCATAAATTCGTTATAAGCCTACAACCTCCAGTCCGGAAGATATGCTTATAACGGGAGTAATCTGCACCATGAGGATAAAAATTCCCACTGGACCTCGAATCTCGGAAAAATTAGGCCCATGCCACTCACAACTCCGAGAACTAACATAAGCCAGGAATTCGGCGGGGATCACGAAAACAAAACAACAAAACAACAATATGCACTCGTACGTATCTAGTGCGCCAAATTCTCTGCTGCAACCGATCGATGGCCAACTAAAAATTATCAAAACACGACCAAAAAAAGGAAAGTGATCCGAATCGAACACACAGATGATAGATAGCAATACCTCGTTTCGATCGAGGGTCCTCCGGGTTATGAGCCCGGCGCGCTTCCGCTGCGCCATATTGCTTTTTTGTTATGTATTCGAAATGCCTTTGAAATATATATAGACTTTAGTAACCAACACAAATGATGGTGGTGGATGGAGATTAGAGCCGGCGCTAGAGATGCGGCTATTTTTCATTTGTACATATCGTGGGAAAACGTTTTCGAAGTGATCAAGTCTGTGTTACGTATACGGCGACATTAGATCGGAACCGTGGTTGGTGATACAATTAGTGACCGCCAAAAGTCTGGAAGCAACTCGTGGGATTTATGATTTTCTTTCGTGGATAACTAGGCTGTAAGTATGTAGCTTAAGCTTCTGGAGGCAGGTGACGTTATCCATATTGCGTAGTCTATCGGTTGAAGAAATTTTATGGTAGGATAAGTAGTTTGATAACTGATGACTAGACAGAGACGGAGGCAAAGGACTATTGGTATATACTTTCGGCAAAGGGAAAGGGGGGATGGGGTAGGCAAAAGAGGCAAAAAGTTGACGACCTTGCTAGGGATCGAACCTAGAATCTCTTGATTCGTAGTCAAGCGCCTTGCCATTGGGCCACAAGGTCAATTAGATGATCAGCGTACCTTACCATGTACCAGATTCTCGATATCAGAGGTTGGGCTACGCGATGAAGACGAGTCAGTTGCTTTCCCGCATCCCTCTCTCCCCACATTTCTTTAACCGAAAGAAATAATGACCTGACGTGATGACCCTACGACTAGCCTCGGCCCAACCCCATAGACTCACGTTCGAGCCATACAAGATTCAGTACCAGACCTACCCCTGGGTCGACCCCGATCATCAGGAAAAGGACGGCCCCTTCCTCCCCAAAACCGGGCCGACGGGTAACTCCCGGCTGAACTACCTCCTGTACTGCGAAACAACCGGCACAAACGAGCTCCCTGGCGCCGACGAGCGCTTCCTCAAGTACAGTGGAAACTTCACAGACGGCCGGATGGAGCAATGCGCCAACTCGGAGTCCACCCGACTTTGGCGCGTTCTACATGAGCAGGAGAAACTTTTTCGAAAATTACTTGCTCAAGAAGTTGAAGGCGTTGAATTGGGCGCTGGAGCCGACGCTGACGAAGGTGACAGCTAGGTTGGACAATTTAGACCTACCGACGGTGGTTTGGTATGTTTCTCTGTTCTCTTGTTCATCGTCTTCCTCTGCATTAATGTGGGGTTGCTCACCCGGCTGACGTGATTGATTGAATGATTGAATTTAGGGAAACCGATTTGAGGATTAGAGATCGCCGTAGCAGGGCAGAGGACGATGCGTACTACGCTTTTAAGCAAGACGCTGGTTCGACAACGTCTTGGACCTTTTGTTCCAGTAGTGACCCACCCAGGGACGCAGACAACATCGGGACGGGGGGGTGGTCGGCAAAGGCTGCAGCCAAGGCCAACTGTATGTTCCTTGGGCTTGTCTATCTCATATATATCCCAGCCGACAAAGAGAGAGGACTCCCTGCTCACATTGCATTTTCGTGTAGGCTCGTGCAAGAATACGGTTTCCTTTACCCCAGGCACGGATATCATCACCGTAACGGGATATCCTCATGTCTACACGTCTTTTGAGTGGTGGGATTTCCACATGTTTGCAAAGGATGAAGACATGAACCAAGAGTAAGTGAAATCCCAAAGTCCTCAGCGCGATCAACCACCGCTAACAATCTTTCGAAAAATCAAGATACTCATAGGAAATCAAGTAGACCATTACCTTGAAGCCGTCAAAGACGGCAGTCTCCAAATCGCCAGCATGTTCGACGGGCCACACCTAACCTTCATCAAGGAAGACCTCAAGGGTCTCGGAGCGCTGACCGAGTACACAAAGAAAGCCATCCCCATCGCCATCCAGAACCTAGTCAGCCTGCGCAATGAGCTCATCAACGACCGCGTGGAGCAGAATGGGTTATGTCTCCCCGCGAGAGGCGTGTTCTTTTTCAAGAACCCGACTTTGAGTCTTCAAGGCGATTTAATGTGTTCGTTGGGATACAAGGATACCCCGTCTGCGGAGTATTTCAAGGAGGATAGGAAGTTGGAGATTGATGACTCGGAGGGTGCGAAGGTTAGGAAGGGTGTTGAGGTGGAGACGGTGGTGAATTTGCCGCCCGCGCCGGGATCGCAGCAGGTTGATAGATAAATCGGTCAAGATTTCTGCAATATAACTAGTTTCTGGATAGATGTCTGGATGATTGAATGAGGGGTAGAGAAGTTTTTAGCGGCGGTTCTTTTTTGTTTTATCACGCAAATATTGGATTCTGTGCATGTAAACCGATATCTAGAGGAATTTCTCGATGGCAATTGAAAAGAGAAGTGTGAACCATTGCATCTTCATGCCGGAATGATCTCTGTAGACATATGAAAATTAGCACGGGTGATTTTATCCATTAGTTTCTCATCTTATTTCCACTCATTTTCAGATTTAATACGTGAATTATACACCAGGCTATGAAGTACTGCCCTGCGTAAGATCAATCAAAACATGCGGCGGATGCTGATCGATCCCAATACGTTATTAAGCAATGGTTGCGATAATATCAAGTGTGCGATTTCAAAATGATCATTGTGCTCCATAATCCAGACGATGCTCAGTGTACCAGACCAAGTATGCCTCATACTCCCAGGTCATTCTCGCTAATGGTACCGGCCTCGCTTGTTCCGTGACGCCCCCCCTAGCAAGATTCCCATCCCATATGTCTTTTTCGCCTACATATCGTAAATACATACACTATCCCTTGACCATCAATTGCATGGCATAACATGATGGTATTGGTAAGCGGAGGGACAACAGAAGACAAGTTGAACCATCGGTGTGAGGATGATTTGGGTATACAATCAGCCCACGGACTATGTGAGTGTAATTTACTTCTTTTGCGTAAAACGGATGGAGGGCATCAGCCAGTCAGAGTCATTAACAGTCGGATGGATGGCCGAGTGGTTATGGCGTGTGACTCAAGCTCAGCAAACAGCTTCTTACTCTTCATAGGAGTAAGAGTATTCTCATGGGGCAACCCGCGGGGGTTCGAATCCCCCTCCATTCACTGTCACGATAGCTTCTGCTGTCATTCTTTTAACCCTTTATATATTTTTTTAAACCGAGATATGTAGGATAGTAACTGTTCTCGTACCCAGACTCGACCTGCGTTGCGTAACGTTATATCTCATGCAAAATTTGCCAGAATGGGTCTGTCTAACGTGTCTGCGAGAATTTGGTGGAGGGCAGAATTATCAACATTCCATGTATTGTAAATGTTTTGCCTCGGTGCATAGCATTTACCCCGAGATGCGTTTTTAATATTGCGAACAGAATCCAGAACCACCGCTAAGAATAGTTTCCCACCAACAACTCCTGCCGGGTAGTCATATCCTGTTCTCGTGCCAAGTCATATCCCCGCGCGGACAACACGCACGTTCGAATTCGTAAATAAAATATAACTGCAAAGGCGGAATTATCCGCATAGATGGCCTTTATCGAAGAACTACTTACCTACCTGGTATCTATCAACACCTCGTATCCGAGTCCCTAGTTGCTTCGCGCGTTCGAGGCTTTCTATTGTTGAGGTCAAACAACAAGCTCCGTTGGTCTAGTGGTATGATTCTCGCTTAGGGTTTATCCTGAGTATTATTGATTTGCGAGAGGTCCCGTGTTCAAACCACGGATGGAGCCAAATATTTTTTTAAGGAGTTTTATGGAGAGCGTGCGGTCACTGGCCTGACGCATGCTACTGCATGTAAAGAATTTTTTGTTGAATTTTTTTTTTTTATTCAACGGTTGGTTGTAGATTTTCAAATCTGATCCCGTGTTCTTGAAGTGCCTTTAAGTGGGAAGTTCAAATGCATATCATGATGTATGTACATACATACGCCCGCACCATTTTCAATTAGCATCACCGTGTGATGAGTAGGTGAGTGTTGCAATTGTGATTCCGTATCTTCACGGCCCCAGAATCATCTTTTGCAGCCAAAGTACCATTTGTCACACATTGCACTGATACGAGAGGCCCCCAAGTAGGCGGTGTTCTGTAAACCGGCTTGTCGCTTGAAAATGAGATATCCACTGCTGATCATGATGTATTTGTAGAGAGTAGTGCTCTTGTTGTCTTTGCAGTGTGCGCCAACAATTAGCATCTACCCTGCCATGATCACTCACTGCTAACTGGCAGCGTACTATATGCGCCTTGAAACGGTCAGTTGGTATCTTCCTAAGGGAACGGGATGCCCGGCGGGCCCTTGCCCCATTATCTCGAGTTGAGTTGGTTTTAAACGACGGAAAATGCTCATAACGCATAGAAATATGCTCAAAATGAAGGTCTAATACCATCTCAGTTTAAGAGAGCAAATTCTGCTCGTAATTTTCTCAAAACTACCTCGAAATAAACTCTCAGGAAAGTGTTTATTATTTCACTCATGCCAACGCATATTTTCTCAAAATACCTCTTTACCACTAAGGTTAATCACCGCCGTGCTGATGGCGACGAGCTAGCCTCAATATGAGTCCTTGGACTTGCACACCACGTTCAGTCAGGTTCCTAGCAATCTATGTACATATCTCCCAATCCGACTGTTGCGGTGCGGCACCCACCCCTTCAGCCATTGCACTCGCAAGGAGGGGCCTTCCTTGAACGCCCTTACAATCCATCCATCCTCGGGGCAGGAGCGTACCCCTCGATGTGTGCCTCGCATGGGTGCGGGCCGTGCCGCGTGGGTGGCATGGGGATGCGCAGCGAGACCGTCGGTTTCTGCGCTGCAGGCAGCTGGTCAGGAGGAGGCAGAACGTACATCCATAGCTTGGGTAGCTGCGGGTGCGGCCAGACGTGGACTAGAAGTTTAGATGTATGGACGTGTGGTGTGGTGTGGTGTGTAGTAGGTGGGCAGGGTCGACCGTGCGCGCGACTAAAGTAGTCTCGTGCCGTGCGTGCATCTAATGGCTCACGCCCAGACGAGAACACACGCCCAGGTAGGCTAAGCCAGAAACGGCCAAGTTTAATTTTACTGAGCGTCGGGGGTGAGATATTAACCTTATTTCAACCTCGCGTCACCTCACTTCAGCTCATTCCTCTTCTTTTCATTTCTTTTCTTTTTCCGCGGTAGTCGGGTTTCACACCCCACCATCTCACCATCCCACCAAACCCCACAACCTATTTAAAGCGGCATTAGCTAGTCACAAGTGGACAAACCACATTTGAGGGGGCGCCGGCAATGCATTTATACTCCTCGTTTGCGAGCCCGCGCCCAACATGTGATAAGAGAATGATGATCGATTCCTCAGACCCTCCAGCGTTCGCTTGAGGTGGCATTAGACTAGCTTGACGTCTCAAGCACAAGCGCTAATCGCTCGGCTGACTAACTGCCTGACTAACTACGCGCGCCAGTGCGCCACATAAACCCGCGGTGCCCACCACATCACACCACACCACACGCCCGACCCCAGCCTCGAGCTCTCCCGTGCATGCGGGCCTGCACACGTTTACGCTCCGTACTAGCTTGCACGCAACAGTCTTCAACAACGCGTGGACGACTGAGGCCGTCAACACCATGATCGAGGACGAGGAGGGCCTGTCCGTCACGTGGCCTTTCGACGCGCTGGTGGCCGCGGGGCAAGCTGTCGGTGTGGCTGTCGTGGACGGTGACGAGGAGAGAGTTAGTTCACTGAAGAATGTACTCGTACAGTTGCGCCCGGCTATAATGAACGTTATTGTTGTGGAAATGGAGAAAACAGAAGCTGGTTCTTAACCCCAAAAAATTAATTTTTTGTGATTTTTGGATTCATCGAAACAAGAATCAAGTAGAAAAAGGAACAATGACAATGAGGGAAAAGAACAAAATAATGTGATTTATTTTTTGGTATCATCAACATAAACCACCCATGCACAATCAGCGCACCATCCAAACTCCCTTTCCATACGAAGCACGAGTCATGAGGGAGGAGGAGGCGTGATGATAGCAACAGTCGAGGCGAGAAAACAACATGGAGACGGTACGGCCGGACGAGGTTGCGAGTTTACGCGACGGGAGGCTGGGAGCAAACAAGAGCTATGAGCTGCAGCAAAGAAAGAGAGTACGGAACAAAACTGAGCAAGAAGTCGACGATCCAGTGCCTAAACGTAAAGGTCCGTCGTAAGTACAAAGCAGGGATGCAATTCACTCAGTCAAAGCATCCACCATCTCCGTCGACAACCAGGCGGCGAAAGCAAAAGACAGAGAGAAAGAGCCGAGGCGACGTCGAATGAACAAACGGAGCAAGAGAAAACATAAGGTGCACGAGAACAAGAAGGTGCAGGGGACGGCGGTTGGATGTTCTTGAGCTCATTTCTCGAAGGTGTAAGCGATGCCGCAGAACTCGGCGAAGCGGTACTTGAGGCAGACTTGTTTGATGACCCACCACATGGGTGTGCCGAATGTCACGTGGTTATGCATGCCTCTAGGCATGCCAGAGTGCAGCATAGCGAGCCCGCTGCCATCGCCCGTGAAGATCAGGGATCCTGAGTCACCTTGGTCGGAGAAATCGCCCGACGTCTTACTGAGGTTGTATACGACAACCTCCCTGGACTCGAGTCCGAACTCCTGGCAGATATAGCCCTCCATGCCCGAATAGCGGCCCAAGGTAAGCTTGGTCGCGTTACCGTACTTGCCGACGATGTAAAGAGGATTGCCATTCTTGTCCATCGTGTCGGGATTGAGGACGCGACGGCGAGGAACGATGGAACGGATGGGGAGCTGGAGACTTGTTGGGATCTTTCTTCCCTGGCGAACGGCATCGAGGGGCCAGAAGAGGTCTTCAAGCTCACGGGCCGTGTATTGGTTACCTGAAAAAATTGAATTATGTCAGTAACGGAGGCAGGGCAAACTGAACGGAACGCACCTAAGTCAACGCTATTGCGCTCAAAGTTGATGAGCTTCTTTTCATCGACCGCAAACGTTGCAATGTCGCGGGTGTACTTGCGCTCATCCACCGTGACGTCGATCTTGGGGGCCCAATCGACGACACCTAACCTGCGGCCGTTAGAGTCCTTCCACTGCCTTTTGACTTCGTCAAATAACTCGCTGAGACCGGCGTGGTCCTCGTTCTTCTCCTTCAATGCGTTCCTCTTGCGGTCAAGCGCCCACACATCCTCCTCGTCCGTACCCACCGCCTTCTCCAACTCCTCGACTTCAGTATGAAGCCCAACGACGTCGCGGAACCCGTTCGCCGCAGCTTTCTCGATCTCGGTGATGGCAAGCCCGAAACGACGCTCACCACACACGAGGATGTGCTGCGGGTTTGCCTCATCCAGCTCGTAGTCGGTGGTGGTGGCGACGGAGGCGACGTGCTTGCTGGTGAGGGCGAGGACTCGATTGCTGGGCTCGCCACTGCTCGTCTTGACCTCCTTGAAGAGGAGCGTGAGGGTGCCGTGGGCATCATCCGACTGCCTGGCAATGGGAATGCCCAAGCCGGTGTTGAACGGGGTGTTCAGGCCGAACCTAGCGTTGATGTTCTTAACGACGCGCATAAGAGGTGGGCCGCCCAGCCTGACGACCAAGCCCTCATACCACTCGACAACGACGTCGGTGATGTTGAACTTCGAGAGAATCTGGAGAATGGTTGGCGTCGCATCGCAGACGTCTCTGGGCTTGGCGGTGCCGGGACGAAGAGCGATCCAGACAACGACGGGACCGAGAGTTGGCCCCTTGCCGTCCTCGACGCTCGAGAAGCGAGCTGTTGTCACCGCCGAGTACTGGAGACCATTGACCTTCAACGACGCTATGATCAGAGGCGCCACGTTGTCCCACACGGCATTGAGCGGCGTGCCGAAGACCCCGTGGGCAGTCTTTGTGGGGATCTTGTAGAAGCGGGCGCCAGGCACGGGTTTGGGGAAGGGGTTCGTCTGGAGGTCGGAACGCCACATGAGCTGAAGATCGCCGATTCCGTGGTAGTAGAAATGCATCTCGTATTTCGAGACCATGTCGGGGGCTACGACGGCGAGGGCTTCCGAGTTGCTGCCAAGTCCTGACCAGAGGGTCTCGGTATCGCTGAGGGTGGGAGACGTGGGCGGCGCAGGAGCAGCGGGAAGCTTTGCAGCGTTCTGCTCGGCCTGGTAGACGCGTTTGAGACAATCCGCCATGAAGCACGTGATGGCTTGGTACGCAAGAAGATGTGAGTACGTGGAACGAAAGGCGCAGAAAGGAAGGTTAGAAGGCGAGACTGGGTTAGAAGACTTACAACCTAGGTCCCTGGGGTTGGCCTTTGCCGCCCTGACGAGATCCTGGATACCAGGAGCAACACCTACAAGATGGACGGGCAACAATGAGTGAAGAGCTGGGAGGTGTGTAACGAGGAATGAGCTTACCTTCACCGAGGAATCCGAGGAGAACGAGCTCTTCCTCGCTCATGTCGGCGATCTCTGCGGGAAACACTCAGCACTCATAACGAAGTGGAACGACGGACACCACTCACTCTTGTCTGCATACTTTGGATCCATGATGGGAAAGAAAGGATTCACGAGAGAGATGGCAGTTAGAAAGCGCAAGTGAGTACGTCGCCGATGGGGGGGTCGATGAGCTGGGGAGCAATTCGGAAGCGTGAAGAGAAAGATCCTTTTGAGGGCTCAAGCGAGTCGGTCGAGTCTGGACGCCGCGTTTTGCTTACACGTAACCTACCCCATTCACGTAATATGGCCAAGAAGCTTG